CCCACGGCAGGCGACGGGACATCTCTGAAGCCCGCGGATTGTGAAAAAAATCGTCGCACGCATGGGGATTGTTCTGTGCGTTTTTCCGTCGGCGGCATGTCCCGCCGGGGAGCTCATCACGGTCTGCATGGTTTGGGGTCCCTGGCTTGGCCTTGTCTGAGGCATTGTGCGTGACACCTGGTCCTGACAATTGGGCCCCTGTGTTATGATGTTCCCATCCTACTTAAAGACCACATCCCAGAAATAATTTCGAGCACCCGGCTAAATTGTCAAAAGAGTGTCGAAACAGTGTCGAAACAGTGTCGGGCGAATGTCTCCCAGGGCCCGACACGTGAAAACCCTCGAGTTCCAGTACTTTTTGGCGCTCGAAATTCTTTCTGGTGGTCAAGGCTAAAGTAGGCGTCGGGTGTTGCTAGAAGTACCCCTGGCTGAAGGTACCCCATATAGGATTCTCGGGGTGGCCCAGACGGCCTGCCGGGCACCCCATCCACGAGGCCCAGAGGGCCCCTCAGGGGCTCCGCAGCGCAGCGACTCGCTGGGGACTCCCTGGCAACACCCGACAGGTGGCCGCACTCCAGGGAAGGCCGCCGGATTGACCACATCGCGCCCTCGGATCTCGGGGGAGGCGAGGCGGCCGGCGGCCTCGCCGCCCGCCGGCGCGGCCGCGGGCGCCACGGCGCCGTCGGCGGGCTCCGCGCGGTCGCCCCGGCCGCGCCGCTGCCGGGCCATGAGGCCCCTGACGGCTGCCTGGGGCCGGTCGCTGGCCTCCGTGTTCGCCTTCTCGCCCACCTCGTCCTGCTCCTCCGCCTCCTCCTCCTCCTCCTCCACCTCCTGCTCCTCCTCCTCCTCTCCTCCTCCTCCTCCTCCTCCTCCTCCTCCTCTCCACCTCCTGCTCCTCCTCCTCCTCCTCTGCTCCTGCTCCTCATCATCCTCCTCCTCCTCTCCTCCTCCTCCTCCTTCTTCCTCCGAATCTCCTGTCTTGTGCTCCTCTATTAGTGATCCTCCTCCTCCTCCTCCTACTCCTCCTCCTCCCCTCCACATTCTCCTCCTCCTCCTCCTCCTCCTCCTCCTCCTCCTCCTCTCCTCTCCTCCTCCTCCTCCTCCTCCTCCTCCTCCTCCTCCTCCTCCTCCTCCTCCTCATCCTCCTCCCTCCTCCTCCTCCTCCTCATCCTCCTCCTGCCTCCTCATCATCCTCCTCCACCTCCTCCTCCTCCTCACCCTCCTCATCCTCCTCATCACTTTCCTCATCCTCCTCCTCCCCATCCTCCTCATCACTTTCCTCATCCTCATCCTCATCCTCATCCCCATCCTCATCCCGATCCTCATCATCTCATCATGATCCTCACCATCATCACCATCATAAGCAGCATCATCAGCATCATCATCATCATCATCATCATCATCATCATCATCATCATCATCATCATCATCATCATCATCATCATCATCATCATCATCATCAACATCATCATCATCATCATCATCATCATCATCATCATCATCATCATCATCATCATCATCATCATCATCATCATCATCATCATCATCATCATCATCATCATCATCATCATCATCATCATCATCATCATCATCATCATCATCATCATCATCATCATCATCGCCATCATCATCATCATCAGCATCATCATCATCATCATCATCATCATCATCATCATCAGCATCATCATCATCAGCATCAGCATCAGCATCAGCATCATCATCATCACATCCTCGTGATCATCATCATCAGCAGCATCAGCATCATCATCATCATCATCAGCAGAATCATCATCATCATCATCATCATCAGCATCATCATCATCATCATCGCATCATCATCATCATCATCATCATCATCGTCATCATCATCAGCATCATCACCATCACCACCACCAGCACCACCGCCACCACCACCACCACCACCATCATCATCATCATCATCAACATCATCATCATCATCATCAGCATCAGCATAAACATCATCATCATCGGTATCATCATCATCATCAGCAGCATCAGCAGCATCATCATCATCATCATCAGCAGAATCATCATCATCAAAACCATCATCACAACCATCCTCAGCATCATCAGCAGCAGCATCTTATTCATCATCATCATCATCAGCAGCATCATCATCATCACCGTCATCATCATCATCATCATCACCATCATCATCATCATCATCATCGTCGTCGTCATCATCATCATCATCATCATCATCATCATCATCAGCATCATCACCCTCATCATCCTCATCCTCGTCGTCCTCATCAGCATCATCATCATCCTCATCCTCGTCGTCCTCATCAGCATCATCATCAGCAGCAGCAGCATCCTCATCAGCATGCTCATCAACACCACCAGCATCATCATGAGCATCATCATGATCAGCATCATGATCATCATCATCATCATCATCAGCATCATCATCATCATCGTCATCATCATCGTCATGGTCATTGTCATCGTCATCGTCATAATCATCATCATAATCATCGTCATCATCACCGTCATCTTCATCATGGTCGTCATCAGCATCATCATCATCGTCATCATCGCCATCGTCATGAACAGCATCGACATGGTCATCAGTTTCAGCATCAGCAGCATCAGCATCATCAGCATCATCAGCAGCATCAGAAGCATCGTCACCATCAGCATCAGCATCATAATCATCAGCATCAGCATCAGAATCAGCATCAGCATCATCATCGTTGTCGTCATCATCAGCAGCATCATCATTAGCATCATCATCATCCTCATTATCAGCATCGCCAACATCATCATCAGCATCATCAGCATACGCATGATCATCACCATCATCAGCATCATCATTACCAGCATCACTATCATCATGATCAACACCAGCATCATCAACATCAGCAGCAGCATCGTCATCGTAATCATCATCGTCATCATCGTCATCATCATGGTAATCATCATCCTGATCAGCATCAGCATAATCAGCATCATCAGCAGCATTGTCATCATCAGCAGCATCATCAGAATAAGCATCAGCATCATCATCGTCGACATCATCATCATCATCATCATCATCATCATCATCATCATCATCATCAGCATCATCATCAGCATCATCAGTATCATCAGCATCATCAGCAGCATCATCACCCCAACCACTACCATCATCATCAGCATCACCATCACCACCACCACCATCATCATCATCATCATCAGCACCACCAGCATCATTAGCAGCAGCATCATGATCATCAGCATTATCATCACCAGCATCATCAGCAGCATCATCAGTATCATAATCGTCATAAGCATCGTCATCGCCATCGTCGTCATAGTCATAATCATCATCACCACCATTATCACTATCATCATCACCTTCATCACCATCACAATCACCATCACCATCAGTATCAACATAGTCATCATCATCATCAACATAAGCAGCATCATCATCATCATCATCATCATCATCATCATCATCATCATCATCGTCATCATCACCATCACCATCATCATCAGTATCAACATAATCATCATCAGCATCATCGTCACCATCACCATCATCATCACCGTCATCATCAGCATCGTCAGCACCATCATCACCAGCATCATCACCAGCATCATCATCATCATCAGCAATATAATCATCATCACCACCACCATCACTATCATGATCACCTTCATCATCATCAGGAGCACCATCATCATCAGTACCAACTTCGTCATCATCATCACCAACATAACCATCATCATCACCATCACCATCATCAACATCATCATCACCGTCATCATCAGCAGCACCATCACCATCATCATCAGTATCAACATTATCATCAGCATCATCAGTATCACCATCACCATCGTCATCACCATCATCATCACCATCACCATCACGATCATCATCATCATCATCATCATCATCAGCAGCAGCAGCAGCATCAGCATCGAATCAGCATCAGCATCAGCATCAGCATCATCACCTTCACCACCACCATCATCATCAGCATCATCAGCATCATCATCGCTCCCATCTTGCGCTCCAGCCCTTCCTCTGCTTGTCGGCCCCCTCATCCCCGACGTCGTCGTCGTCGTCGCGGCCACCGTCGCCGTCGCTGGCAACCCTGGCATCGTCGCGGGGCCCCAGAACCCCCACGGAGGCCACGAGGGGGGCTGGGCGACACGTGGCAGATGGAAAAGGCGAAGAAGCCGAAAAACGTCGAGAGTAAAGAGGAGGGAGAGATGGAGGAACAAAAGAGAGGAGAAGGGACGGAGGAGGGCGGACGAGGGAGCACGGCGGGGAGGAGGGGCGAAGGAAAAAAACGAAACACTAAAGGACGGGAGCCCCGAGATGCAGAGGGGTGGGACACCCCGCAGCCGCCTGGAACTTGATGACGGCCGGCGCGGCGGGTCTCCTGCCCGAGAATGCCGCTCCAGGAGGAAGGGCTTGGGAGACGCTCCTCCGCCACCCTCGTCCTCTCCTCCTCCTCCTCCTCCTCCTCCTCCTCCTCCTCCTCCTCCTCCTCCTCCTCCTCCTCCTCCTCCTCCGCCTCCGCCTCCGCCTCCGCCTCCGCCTCCTCCTCCTCCTCCTCCTCCTCTCCTCCTCCGCCTCCGCCTCCGCCTCCGCCTCCTCCTCCTCCTCATGTTCGTTTTCCTCCCTCCCTCTCCTCCTCTCCCTCCTGCTCCTCCTCCTCCTCCTCCTCCTCCTCCTCCTCCTCCTCCTCCTCCTCCTCCTCCTCCTCCTCCTCCTCCTCCCTCCTCCTCCTCCTCCTCCTCCTCCTCCTCCTCCTCCTCCTCCTCCTCCTCCTCCTCCTCCTCAACCAACTCCCACCCCCATCGATTGCCCGATTCTGGGGAAACCAAGCAACACCTATACCTCTACTCCGTGGACCTCTCCCGGGGTGCGCTGTGACCAGGATGCCAAGGCGAACCCAGTGGCGACGAGTGACGTGCAGCGGTATCGGTATATTTGCCTGCTATGGTCCTTCTCCTTCTCCTCCTTCCACCTCCTTCTCGTCCTACTCCTGCTGCTGCTCACCCTCTTCGCCATCACAGCCACTCCTGTCCAGCGAAGCCGCGGTCCCGGGGCCGTCGGCCAGCTCGGCCGTGCCCGGCCCGGGGTTGCGCATCTGCGCCAGGGTGCGCTGCACAAGAAGCCTGCGGCGGCACACGAGAACCTCTCCTCGTTCCCGTCTCCCTCACACACGCCCTCCTTCTCATGCTCCTGCCCTTCCTGCCCCCCTCATCATCCTCCCCCTCCTCCTGCTCCTCCCTCATCCTCCTCCTCGTCCTCCTCCTCCTCCTCCTCCTCCTCCTTTCATTCCTCCTCTTCCTGCTCCTCCTCCGACCTAATCCTCCGACTCATTCCCCTCCTGCTATGAGTTGTATCATTTGTAATAATCGCATTAGTTGTCTGATTTTCACTAGTAGTATTTGTTGTAGTCGTGTCATTATTCCTAGTAGTATGATGCTTATGGGTGTGTTGAATAATACTAGAAGTATGAGTCGCAGTAATATTATCATTCGTATCCGTAGTATGTGTATGTGTCATCTGTTTCCTCCTCCTCCTTCTCCTCTTGCTCCTCCTCCTCATCATCATCATCAGCAGCAGCATCATCAGCATCATCAGCATCATCGTCATCATCATCATCATCATCATCAGCATCATCATGTTCCTTCTATTCCGCAGATTCCTCATATACCTCACATTTCTCATATTATTCCTATTCATCATGTTCCTCCTATTCCTCCTATTCCTCATGTTCCTCATATTCATAATAGTCCTCCCATCTCTCCTGTTCCTCCTATCCCTACTACTCCTCCTACTCCTCCTCTTCCTCAGATTCCTTCCTCGTGTTCCTCTTCTTCCTCCGATGATTCATGCTTCTCCTATTCCTTATATTCCCCAGGTGGGACCAAGAGATACCCATACCGCTGCTGATCCCCAGACCTCTCCCGGGGTGCGTTCTGCCCAGAATTTCGAGGAGACCCCAGCGGTGGCGACGAGAGCCTCCCAGGAGGCCCAAGCGGGGGAAAACGGGGCCGTGCTAGCGGCAGGGGCACCCTCTCCTCTCGGGGAAACGTAAGACCAGAGTTCGGGGGAACTCGGGTTGGCCTGGCGAGGCCGTGGAAAAAATGACGAGACCCAGCCTGAAATCTGACGCGAGCTCCCGCTGCAGATTTCCCACGAAAACTGGACTCTCAAAATCCAGGACGGTCTCGTCAAAAAGCGTCGACGCACCCGAGTTCTGGCGAACTCGAATCTTCCTGATGATCCATGAACGTACCCCTCACCTGTTGGAGGAGACCTAAGACAGGAGGGCCATACAAAAAAACGTTAGGGATGGTTTTCCTGCAGATGTATCAGACCAAACCGCCCAAATCCACTATCATTAATGCGAAGGCGGAGACCCAAGTGAGGCCACGCCTCCATCTTTTTATTGGGGTTCGGGGTTCCTTTGCTCTCGATGACTTACGACGCGGCGCCCGCCGCGCCACAGCGAGGCGGAGGAGGAGGGAGGAGGGAGGAGGGAGGAAGAGGAAGAGGAGGAGGAGGCTTTGGGACCAGTCCGATTCACCACCGAAAGAAAAAGGGCGGGAGACCAGCACTGAAGACCGTTAGGGATTACGGTCCCCCGCTCCTCCTCCTCCTCCTCCTCCTCCTCCTCCTCCTCCTCCTCCTCCTCCTCCTCCTCCTCCTCCTCCTCCTCCTCCTCCTCCTCCCTCCTCCCTCCTCCTCCTCCTCCTCCTCCTCCTCCTCCTCCTCCTCCTCCTCCTCCTCCTCCTCCTCCTCCTCCTCCTCCCCCGAAGCGAGGAGCGCCTGCGCCGGGCCAGCCAGCAACGCACCACGCCCTGGATGCTCCGCGCCGCGGCGTCGAAGCGGCGGTCCCGCCTGCGCGCTGCTGGGCAGTGGGGGGCACCAGGGCCACGTCGCCGCAGGGCGGGCGTCGTCGTCGTCGTCGTCGTCGTCGAGGTCGAGGTCGAAGTCGAGGTCGAAGTCGAAGTCGTCGTCGTCGAGGTCAAAGTCCAGATCGAGGTCGGGTGGTGGACCCGTTCTCCACCACCGCTACTGTAGGCAGGACGGGGGAGAAGGGAGGATGGGGAGAGATCCTCCTCCTCCTCCACCTCCTCCTCCTCCTCGTCATTCTCATCCTCCCTCTCCTACCTATTGCAGCGGTGGTGGAAAAACAGTCCTACCTACTGTGGTGGTGGTGGTGGAGAAACGGCCCATCAAAAAAGGGGGCCCAGGTGTCGAACGGTTTGGGGCTTCAGTCTGGGCGTGTTCCTCGATCTGGGCATCTGGGGGCCGTTATCGACCCTGGGGGCGTCAGAGATTTGGCTCTGGGGCGACAGAAGTGGCCCCGGGGAAAGGGTCGAGACCTCTGGGACCGCGACTTGAAGATCGTCGGATGCCTGGGTGGAAGGAGAGGGGGAGGAGGAGGAGAAGGAGGAGGAGGAGGAGAAGGACCAGTGTAAACCCAAGACCCAGCAACGATGTTGGAAGTCACCCTCCTCCCTCTTCGCATGCCTCTACAAGTGTTCATCTCCACTGAGGGAACTGCCTCGTTGGGAGACAACCGTTTGAAGACATTAAAGCGTGCCACAACACTATTTTCGGGTCAAAACACGTGTTAGGATTTCAACACCGGAACCAACGTAACTGTTTCGCCAATACAATCCTGAGTCTTCCCAAAGCACAACTTCTCGCACGCTGACAATGGGAATCCGTGAAACCCTTGCAAATGTTTAAGACGAGTGTGCGCGGCACTGAAGCGAGAGACACATTTGAAAAGGACCTGCCCTCAATCCGTGAAATCCTTGCAAATTCTCGATGAATGTGCGCCGCCCTAGGGCGAAAGCCACATTTTGAAAGGGGCCCGTCATCAGTCCGTGAAATTCTTGCACATCTGCTAAACAGCGCGGGGCTAAGGCGAGAGCCATATGTTGAAAACGGCCGGCCCTCAATCCGCGAAGCTCTTGCAAATTCTTGAAAGGAATGCGCGCGGCGCTGGGGCGAGAGCCACATTTTGAAAAGGGCCCGCTCTCAATCCGTGAAACTCTTGCAAGTTGTTGAAGCGAATGTGCACGGCGCTGAGGCGAGAACCACATTTTAGAACCGGCCCGCCCTCCATATGTGGAAGGTCAGGTTTTAAGTTTCAGGCTCCTAAGTGGTGAAGCAGTTCTAGGCGAAACGCCCGGCCCTCCCTTTCAACTGGCCTCGGGGTGCGACAGGGGAGGAATTGTTCATAAGGAAAAGGAGTGGAGGAGAAGGAGAAGAAGGGAGACAGGAGCAGGGAGGACGGGTTCGTAGCGATTTTGGCTCAAGTCCCTAGCGGGAGGTTCGAGGACGATAATTGTGGCACAGGGAGAAGCAGCCCTACAAATTTTCAGTGTACTGTATTGGGAGTTCCTCCCACGGCCTCACTATCTACAACGATGGTGCTGCCTATTGTACTACTGCAGGTCCATGCGTCCGCTGCCTGAACCTAGGGGTGGTCGGAAGTGTTTTGCTTGTGGGCGCGCAAGCAACGCATGGAGATGGACGTGGCGCATTCCACTGCGGAATGCGTCAATCGGTGAGCCGTCTGCAACGGGTATATAGCAGCAAAGCAGTCCGCGGTGGTAGCAGCAGCAAGTGGCAACGGGGTAGCTCCGCGGCCATGTTGTTCGGAGGAGCGTCGCAAGGCAGCCCTTTGTTGACGCCGAGCGTCAAGAGCTTAGCGTACAGGACCTCATACCGCTGGTGGCACCCCACGGCAAGACGGGTGGTGTGCGGACGGCTCAAAAATCATCAAGAGCAGCTCGACCAACTCAAATGAGAAGTCTGGATTTGCGGAAATCTCGCCGCGAGAAAGGCCGACAAAGCACGCGGACAGAATTTCCACCTGGAATAAGCGCTGGGACGAGAAGGTCATGGCCCAAGCCTCGATTGGTAAATCAAAGGCATCGATGACCAGCTCGAGGGACAGGAAAGGATCTACAGAGTCGCCTTTCAGAAACTACTTATGGGTGTCTCAGGCGCGCGAACCCAAACTGTTCCGATTGGTACGCTTGCAATTGAAAACATCATGTAAGGGAAAATTGCTTCTTGGACAGGGGAACCTCTTCCAGCTCGGCGACTTCTGCGACCTGTCGGCAGAGGAGAAATAAAAGACACAAAAAAGGATCGCTGACCTCAAGGAAGTTTTCGCGAAATCACCTAAAAAAATGTCGGCGTGGCCAAGGCAAGGGTGGATACTGTACGTCAGGAGCACGAAGCACATTAGAAACGGCTGGAAGGAAAGAAAAGGAAAACAAACGAAGGAGAAGCAGCAGCAGGTGGAGGAGAACCTAAAGACAGAGTTGAGCAGACAGCAGCGTCACCAGCGAGCGCGTCGCAGGCATCGTAAGGTAATTACATGTCCTGGAAGCCCCGGCCCGCCACGGCGCCCTGCCCTTCTGGCGCCCATCGGCCTCGCCCTCTCCGCCGTCGTCGCAGAAGAATGGGGACAAACCAGACGGCGCCCCCCGGGCGCCCGCCCCATGGCCGTCGATTTGGCTTCGGTGTTTTTGGTCCGCCTGTTTCAAACCGCTCGTTTTTTGAAGCCACCGTGCGTGTACGCAAAGTGTCTGTTGAGATGCGTCGTCGATCTGTTCACATCAGGGCAGTGCAGTGGCGCGAGCAACAACGTCGATCCTGGCTGCTCCACGTGCACAACTGCTGGAACACCTTTTCTCTAAAGAGGCTGGCACAGGACAGGAGCGTCACTGACGATGATGGTGATACAGCAGTGTGCAGCGCCGGCAGTGTTATCTCCATTGCAGGTGGTGCAGCTACTTCCAGTACAGGTGGCGCTGTTTCCATCGTAGTGGGGGCGCACGTTGTCCTGGGGAGATGGTTTCCCGATATCCGCCGATCCGGCGTGTGAGTTTGTGAGAGCGTGACCGTGGGCTTGAGCTCGCTCAAGCTTCGCTCTGGAGAGGGGGGTGGGGGACGAATTCCAACGGAATTCACTGAACGCACAAGCCCACCCGCCTCCCCCACACACACACACACACACACACACACACACACACACACACACACACACACACACACACACACACACACACACACGCGCACACACACACACACACACAACACACACACACACACACACACACACACACACACGCACATGCACACGCACACGCACACGCACACGCACACGCACACACACACACACACACACGCACACGCACGCACGCACGCACCACGCACGCACGCACACGCACGCACGCACACACACACCACACACACACACACACACACACACACACACACACACACACACACACGCATACACACACACACACACACACACACACACACACACACACTTCCTTTTCTCTGAGAGGAATCTTCTTCTCTGACCCCACCCCCCTCCGACAGCCCCCCCCCAACAAAAAAAACCCTTCCAGGACAGACCCCACCCCTCTCCGACAGACCCCCTTCCCCCCTCTCCAAACGGGCAGATCTTCCCCCCCCCTCTCCGACAGAGATTCTGGCGTGTGAGTTTGTGAGATTTGTGAGGGCGTGGGCTTGAGCTCGCTCAAGCTTCGCTCTGGAGAGGGGGGGGGACGAATTCCAACGGAATTCACTGAACGCTCAAGCCCCCCCGCCTCACACACACACACACACACACACACACACACACACACTCCTAAAAAAATATGATTCTCTGACCCCCCCCTCCGACAGCCCCCCCCCCAAAAAAAAGACCCCCCCCTTCCAGGACAGACCCCTCTCCTCTCCGACAGACCCCTTCCCCCTTTCCGAACAGATCCTCCCCCCCCTCTCCGACAGAGATTCCCTTCTCCGACAGACCCTTTCCTTCTCTCCAACGAACCCCCTTTTCTCCGACAGGCCCCCCCCCCCTACAACAGCAGCACAAGCAGCAGCGTGTGAGTTTCTGAAAGCGTGGGCTTGACCTCGCTCAAACTTCGCTTTGTCGGGGGGAGGGGGGGGCTGACGCCATTCAGGCCCGCGAGGGAGGAGGGGGGGAGGGGGCTGACGCCACACAGGCCCGAGGGAGGAGGGGTGGGGGCTCACACCATTCAGGCCCGGGAGAGAGGAGGGGCGGGATGCTTCGCTCTGTCGGGGGGGGGGGGGGCTGACGCCATTCAGGCACGGAGGGAAGAGAGGGGGGAGCTGACGCCATTCACGCCCGGGAGGGAGGGGGGGTCGCTGTGTCAGGGGGGGGGGGGGGCTGACGCCATTCAGGCCGGGAGGGAGGAGGGGGGGGGGAGGACTGACGCAATGCATGCCTGGTGGGGAGGAGGGCCATGCATGCCGGGGGGAGGGGGGGGGAAGGGGAACGCCATGGGGAGGAGAGGGGGTGGGCTTGAGTTCGCTCAAGCTTCGCTCTGTGGGAGGAAGGGTTGACGCCATTCAGACCCGGGAAGGAGGAGGGGGGAAACGGGCTGACGCCATTTATGCACGGGGAGGAAGAGGGGGGTGGGTGGTGGGGGCTGACGCCATTCAGGCCCGGGAGGGAAAGGGGGGGGGGGGAGCTGACGCCATTCAGACCCGGAAGGGAGGAGGGGGGGGGGGGCCTCGCTGTCGGGGGGAGGGGGGCTGACGCCATTCAGGCCCGGGATGGCTGACGCTATTCAAGCTCGGGAAAAGAAAGGAAGGGAGGAGGGCCGACTCCATGGCTGACGCCATTCACGCCCCGGACGGGGGAGTCGGGGGGGAGCGGGGGCTGACGCCATGGCTGACGCCATTCAGGCCCGGAAGGTGGGAGACGACATCCCATGAGTTCAGCTGTTCACCCGAGATCGTCACTTTCGAAAATCCGCAGGTTGCCCAAGCGAGTTCAACATCTCTGCATAATGAAGATGTATTGAGCGAGCGCTCTACTTTCAAGCATA